ACATTAAAACTAAGCAGAAAATATAATTAAATAAAGAAATATAATTAAAAAGAAAAAAAACCCACCAAAATACTCAAACTGGTATTTGAACAAATACGTCTCTCATTAATTTTGCAGGGCAGACAAAACGCCTCCCTGAGCCTGTTTGCTGCAGGGGTCTCTCTGGATCTCTGTTGTGGGTAAAGACTAAGGACTTCTTGCTTTTGCCTTTTTTTTAAGGGGACAGAAATCATAATGCAAAAAGAAAAAAGGAAAATTGCATAAAATTCTATAGATAACTATTAAAAAGTATATTTAAAAGTAAAGTTACACAAAGTAAAAATAAATAAATTTATTCTTAAGACTGCAAAACTTCCTATGTTTTTTTTTCAGGCAAAGCAGGGTGTGTTGTCTTGGGACACTGCCATGCCTTGGATAAGCTGTCAGCAAAAGGCTAAATGCTGTGGTGATTTCCTGGCGAGGCATTTCTTGGCTGTTGTCTTGGAGCTTAAACCAATTCTTTACTTTCTCAGTGTGCAGCTGTTCTGTGCCTTTGACTAGGAGGGTAAAAATAATACTTGGCATTTGTAAAATACTTTTCCCCACAGACACCCCCGTAGTAGAACTGGGAAAGTTGGTGTTACTGTTACCATTTTACAGTCAAGACTGCTGATACTCAGACTGCCAAATGTGCTTAATGTTTATAATACCCCAGTTTAGAAGATAACCCTAAAATGGAAGCCTTTCATCTCTAATTCAGAAAAATTCACCATATCTTTGCCCAGTCTGAACATTTCTGTGCTGTAGGTTGTTTTCAACCCACATACACTTCTAAAATCCCAATTTGCCTGGGATTTGCTTTGTTTCATTTAGGATGCCGTAGAAGGCTTTAACAGTATGGAGAGCTGAGTCACCCAAAAAGGACTGAAGTAAAGCTGGAAAACTGCAGGATTTGAGCCCACATCACACTTAGGAAGATTCAAGCTCGGGGTCAATTCACACTGGTAGAATTTCAGCTTCTTTAGACTTACTGCAAATTTGATCTTACCTGGTGCAACTCATGACTTCATCTTAGGCACCTTCTGAAATTTAGAATTAAGGGTAATGTTTATATTTTTTACCTTTTCCCTTTTTCTTGCTTCTTCATAGTCCTCCTCTATGGTAAGTCCCCCTGTGTTGCCAGGTCTAGTCGAGAGGTGGTGTCCCTGCCCAAAACAGGGAGGTTGGACTAGATGATCTCTAAGGTCCCTTCCAGCCTAGGCCATTCTAAGATTCTATGATTAATTCCTCCTGGTGAGTAACCTCACATCTTTCAGACTGTGGGAGAAGGCGACCAGCTGAGGACCATGGATTTCAGAAGCGTATGCTCATTTGGAGCATGTGTCGTACGAGGAACGGCTGAGAGATCTGGGGCTGTTCAGCCTGGAGAAGAGATTGAGAGGAGACCTTATCACTCTCTACAACTACCTGAAAGGAGGTTGCACAAAGGTGGGGCTTAGTTTGTTCTCCCTAGTGGTGAGTGACAGGACAAGGGGAAATGGCCTTAAGTTGCACCAGGGCAGGTTCAGGTTGGATATTAGGAAGAATTTCTTTTCTCAGAGTGGTGGCAGGCATTGGAACAGGCTGCCCAGGGAGATGGTTGAGTCACCGTCCCTGGAGATGTTTAAGAGGCGGGTGGATGTTGTGCTGAGGGACACGGTTTAGTGGTTCATAGGGCTGGGACAAAGGTTGGACTCAATGATCTTGGAAGTCTCTTCCAGCCCAAACTGTTCTATGATTCTATGATTCTATGGTCTTTTAAATGTGTAACAGTTAGTGACTAATGGAGCTAAGACTGGAATTTTTTGTTGCCAGCTTAGATTAGCTGGCATCTTCCAACCAAAACTGTCCTATGATTCTCTGATTTCAGGACAGCAAGCAGCCTGGTCTCAAGTGGTTACAAAATGCCTACTCTGGCAGCTCGCTTGAAAGAAGTTTCATAGATTTTACTGTAGACTAGGGACTGATATTCTGGTGAAGGATAAAAATCAGCTCTTAAATCTTTGTGGATAGATTCTGAATTTATTACAAATCTTACTTAAAGGCTAGAGCACAGCTATGCTGCTGCAGAAACACATTTTTCTTTCCTTTTTGTTCCAGTGAGGGATTAATCTGCTAATGCCCTTTAGCTTTTCTCCAAGCTTTCTGTTTAACTATGTAAGCAACTGCACAGGAGGAGGAGTTCAGTTAACATTCTGATCATTTTAACCATTCCATCCCAAAATTTGTCACCTCTTCCTGCTCCTACGCATACGAAGAGAAATAAAACCTGTTTGTTGCCCCTTATTGTCATGTGTGGTAGCCATGAAAATCTTTTCACCTTCTTCCTGAGACTGGACTGTGGATCACAACTTGCATCTGCTTGCAAGAGCATCAACTGATGCACTATTTAAATTCTAATAATTCTTATATTGGAAAACTATGATGTCCCATGGGGTACTTCAGAAGAATTTAAAAATTTGTTTTTGAGAGATAGTGAAGAGCCTCTCAGGGAGAGGCCGGATACAATGCCTAGTGCTCTTTAGCTATGAATTTTGAAATAAAACATTAGATTGAAAACTGTACTAAAATCTGGATTTAAAACTATTAACCCCCACTCCCAATTGCTTTCAGATCTCTTTGCAGCAAAAGTTATTTCCAGTTTCTGACAGTCATGGAGATGAACCACAGTATCAAGACAAATTTGTAACGCTGTCTGGCTGTACCAGTGAAGGTGATGTTGAACAGCATATTCTGATGATCCTTTAGACAGCGCGTCCCCCAGTGGTACGTTAGAAGCCAAGGTTTCATTTATTCAGCCAGATCACAGACAATTTAAATTCTCTAATGTCCATTAGGAGTTGAAAATCTGTTGGAGCTTTATGAACTTTCCAGATAATTTGCTTTTTGGTTAACGTATCCGATCAATTTTTTAAGATACAAAAGTAATATATATGAGTGGGTCAAAACTGTAAGTGCCTTATAGCTTTAATTAGGTTTCTGTGGACTACATTGAATTATCTTCTTTTTCAGGACATCCTCTTGTACTTTAATATTCTTCAGGAATAAAAAAATGTTGGGTTCGAATGATTGTCTCAATACCTGTGTTCCTATAGGTGGGCTACCAGTGAGACCAAGAGACTCTTATTGTCCTCCCAGTAAACAACTCTCTATGTAACATAAAGTATTACCTTAAAGCAATATTTTTCAGTTTTCTGCTTTGAATTTGCTTTTAGGACATAGTATAAAATTGCCTCCACAGCCTGTTCTAGTTCACTAGCACCACACCAATATAAACACCTTCACTGTAGTAATAAAAGCATTTGTAAAAGAAGATGAAGATGTTGATTAATACTAGTTTGTCTTTCGAGTAGCCCAGACTACTCAATACCAAATATAGATGAATGCTCAAAATTAGCATATGAGAAATCTGTCCTGGTTTTATCACAATGAAAATATATATGTTTGATGTGTCATGTAGAGGTGAGGAACAGTAATTGCTCTCAGGATACAAACAGTAGTATATAAAATCTACTGCACAATTGCAACGTGGTTTATTAAATCCAGGCATTAAAGGAGTGATGTGTTGGCTGCTCTTTGTGCTGTAGACATTCCCAAAGAGTTAGCTCAGGACTTTCATAGTGTACAATCCTTTCCACGGAAATTTGAAACCCGTCAAAACGTTTGCATTTCTTCAAGATGAACTGTCTTAGTCTAACTTCACTGATTTGTCTTAGTATTTTTTTGTTCAATGTAGGAGAGGCTGTCACAAGTAGCTTCCAGCCTTGTTCATCTAAGGTAAGATTTGCAATTTCTTTGCTTATATAAGATAACGAATGTAACTGAATGATTTCTCAGAAAAGCGTCAGATGTTTTCCAAGTGTAAATTACTTTCTTCAGGATAGAGACAAAAATACAGAAGAATCAGGTATTTCCAGACAGAGAAACTGCATTGAAATTTTAAGAATTCAGTATATTAGAACATTTCTATGTTAATGTCCTTCATCACAGCTCCGTTGTTAGGCCATATTTTTAATCTCATCTGCATGACTGCAAACACAGAGTAACTATTGTTTTTGGACGAGTCACAGTTTTTGCTTGAATTGCTGAGGTCATACTTAATTGCCTGTTTCATGTTGGCTTTTGTTAAAAATAAATATTGATTAAAAATATTTGCTCGACAGTATTTAATTGAACAGCTGGTGAGTAGCTGTGATAAAGCCCTTTGAACAAGCCACAGTTTCAAGTGATCCATTTATAAGTTTCAAGTGATCTATTTGTATCTTTTACAGAATTCTTCTTCCTTTATTTTGTGCTTATTACAAAATTAAAGAAACATATTCTTTTAGTTCTCTAGCATTTATCTCCTGACACAAAATGCAATTACATTAATAATTCAGAAACCTTTTTTTTTTTTTGTAAAATGTCCTTGTTAACAGTTTTATGTAATTTTTATTTTCGCTTTTTAAAAGCAGAAGTCAGGAAAAATCTGTTCAATGCTTTGCCAGTGTAGTGCCAACACCAGAAAGAGAAACCTGAAGCAGGATAGGAGACAATGACATTGAAGTTATATTAAAGTCTAAATAAATTTTCTTTTTCATTAAAATCTTTATGTTTCTAGGGATCCTATTTATATTTGAAAATATGGTATGTGAACATATTACAGTGTTTTACTGACATTATGGAATCAACAAACAAAGACTCAAATGAAAACATGTTTCTTAGTCTTTGGAAAATTACACATATTTCAGGAATTACTATTAGCATTTCCTTAAGTGATGAGTCAGAGGCATTCATTCCCTTATTTTATGTCACATGGCACCATGGAAGAAAAAAGACTAAATATGAAAATCTTCTTTTAAAAGAACATGAACAAGTGTAACTAGTTTTACCAATGCTTTTATTGTTACTATTTCAGATGAAAGTGTGCTGGAGAATAGTGCCCCTTTATTCCTTCCTCTATGAGAGTCTCTAAAATATTTTTTTGTAATGCTGAGTTTGTCTGCAAATCTGCTCAGGAATGCTTGTGTGCATAGATTAATACCTTGTGCAAATATTGCCATGATCAAAGCAATCAATTTAGGGACTTTCAGGAGTCAAAGTGTTTTCCTAATATGTGGTAAATCCAAAAGCCTCTTCCTTTCCAGTGAAAAAAACTTTGTTAACATTTAAGATGTCTGTTGGGTGTGATGATTCCTAAAATGTGAGCTTCTTAAATGCAGGACTTGCAAGTTCTTGCTTCCAGTTCACAGTGCTCACAGTCAGAATGCTTTACCAGAGATGCTGCTGGTAGTTTTTAAATTTATAGAGATTACTCTTTACCTCTGAAACTCTCTTTCTTTTCTGAGGTGTGACTAAGCAGAAGACATCTAACAGGCCTTGGTCTCAGCTCTGTTAATTATCACTTGACAAAGCTCTAAAAAACAGGTTTTACAGGAGGACCCATGGAGTAATCTTCATTTTGGCAGGCTGAGCTATTTTATATATGCATTATGATCAATTTATTTCCTCCTCCATTGTTTGGTACAACAGGGCACAAGAAATGTTGGAGCTGTGGAGGAGCCACTCAAGGCAGAAGAAAAAAATAAATCTGCAGATATTTCAAAACAAAAAGAACAATGCCTTATACCATGTGATGTTCAAGCTAAAATTTTACGAGGGGAAAAACATGACATGTGCAGTATGTATTCATAAAGAATACTCTAGCCATGAGCTATGCAATGCCGTGCTACGCAATCCTCTGCTATGCTACGCTATGCTGTGCTAATTTATTTTTTACTCTTCTTGAGCACATGCGACAGCTTTTGACCATGCTGCCCAGGCTGAATACTGTTCAGAAAATTTGCGGTGCTGTGTTTTTGGGGTGCAGTTTGTGCAACAATGCATACTCATGCTCATTTTTATAATCACTGGTGAAAACAGGCAAATCCCAGCAGTGGCTCGGCCTACCTACAGCCGTGTTACCTTCTGAATGTTGGCACATCTCTCTGTTAGAGAGGAAGACTAGGGTGCCTGTCCCTCATTTAAACATCCGAGTTAAGCCTGAGGGAGTTAAGAGGGAGTCAGTTAGTTTGTTAATTAGTTACGTAAAGTGGGAGGAAATCTACACCTCATCTTGCCTTTTACAGAAACTTATGCAGGACATTCTTTATTGCCCTGACAAACTACAAACCAAATGATATCATCAGCCTCAGAAAAAAAATGCCCAAATTCTTGTCTTTCCCATATTCTTTTATAATGAGGCCACAGCTTGAGTACGATGTTCAGTTTTGGGTGCCGCAGTATAAGAAAGATGTGGAGGTGCTGGAGCAGGTTCAGAGAAGAGTAACGAAGCTGATGAGAGGTCTAGAGAACGTGTCTTATGAAGAGCGGCTGAGGGAGCTGAGATTGTTTAGTCTGGAGAAGAGGAGGCTGAGAGGAGACCTCATTGCTCTCTACAACTACCTGAAAGGAGGTTGTGGTGAGGTGGGTGTTGGTCTCTTCTCCCAAGTTACTAATGATAGGACAAGAGGAAATGGCCTCAAGTTGCACCAGAGGAGGTTTAGATTAGATATTAGGAAAAATTTCTTTACTGAAAGAGGGGCAAGGCATTGGAACAGGCTGCCCAGGGAAGTGGTGAAGTTGCCATCTCTGAAGGTGTTCAAAAAATGTGTAGATGACGTGATTTAGTGGTCGTGGTAGTGTTGGGTAGACAGCTGGACTAGATGATCTTAACAGTCTTTTCCAACCTTTAATGATTCTATGATTCTATAATATATTATTAATTACTTGGCAGATTTATTTATTTGTTATTATATATTTTTAGCATCAGGGCAAAAACCAGGAGCAGCAGAGTGGCTGAGTAAATTTAGAATGGCAGGAAACCTTATATATATCTGTCTTTTATCATTTGCATTTGTATTTCCATGATATCCATTAACTAGTCATTCACATTGCCCAAAGATAAGATGAAATTCTTCAGATCTTAAGAAGAGCCATCACTTCTTAAGATGTTTTCACTGTAGCCAGTGAGGCTGAGGTTTTTAACACCTTTGGCTTTGACCTGTAGTCTCTGTACTACTGTCGTTTCACTTTTAGGTACCCTAAGGTTAAGCACTTTTCTTATTCCGTTAATTTAATAAATGTGGCATAATTCAGTCAAGAATATTTCTAGATTTATGTAACAAAGTGGATGAACGTGTTTCTTTTAAAGGAAATTTGCAGAACTCTCTGGCTGAATACACAAGAAGTACAAAAAAACTGGTAAGAAACATGATGGATGATCAACAGTCTTCTTTGGATTACCTTTCTAATCAGGTACATTTTTCTTTAACATAACAATTTTTATTTAATATTTCTCACTACAAGTATTGTCTAACTGAGGAAAACAAAGCATTTATATTGTCATTTTAAAACAGTAGCATCAGAGTATCACCATTCCTTGCACCTCGGGTAGGGTGTGAGGTCCATTTCCATGAGGAGTCCTAAGCACCCCCTGAAGGTCAGCAACTCGGTGGGAGCAGGGTAAGTGGAGGACTAGTCCTCCACATTGCTTGCTGTCATGTTTGTGCAGATGACATATCATATTATATTATCGATGACAAATTGTATTATCGTTAACTCTGACAGTGGTTTACAAACACTGTGCATTACTCAGTACAGATAAAAAGCCTTAATCAAACTGAAGGCCTTTTTTTGAATTAACTCAAATTGTGCCTAAAAATTATTTTGGATGAGAGATGTAAAAAGTCGGAAGAATCCACCTAAAGAAGGTACGAATCACAAATGTAATCACTAATGTAATGTCATGAAGGTTCATCACAAAAATGAACTTTGTTTTATATTTATTAGGAGTCAGAAAAGAACATCCTTAGAATGCAAAATTCCCTACGGCAACCTAATTAAAGATCTTTTATTTGAATTTGCAGGTAAATGAACTCATGAACAGGATTCTTCTTTTGAACACAGAAGTTTTAAGAAAGCATTTAGATCCACTTCCTTACAAAGCAGTTCAGTCTCATGGTAAGTATTTTTTGCATTTATTCTTGACCACTTGCCTTTTTTTTCTGTTTCTTGACAATGAATTAATTAAACCAAAGGTAAACAATTACAACATTTACAGTATTTATTCTGTGTTAGTAACATATAAACTCTGGAAAATTTGTGAACTATTTAAGAATGTCTTCGTAAAGACTGCTTTGAATCATGTGCATCTGATAATTCAGGGCATCTTGTTTAGCATCTTGTTCATTTTTATGTAAAATACCAAGTATGATCATCAGTTCCTAAGTGATCTGATGTCGCTAAATGGCACTTTCTCTTGCAAAGATATAAAGCGTGCTCTGCATTTCAATATCCTCCTTCAGATGGGATGGAAGTCACTTGTACGCTGGACAGTTCATCTTCTTTGTAGTGTCCATCCCAGCTAAACGAGACATTACCTCTTACCAGGCCTACTGGCCATAGAAACTGCTTGTACAGTTAACACAGACCTGACTTAACAGAAGCAAAGGGGCTTTTATATATGCATTCTGATGTAAAGGTTTTTACAAGTATAAATAAAAGTATCTGCATGAAAAGGCATCCTTTCCCAGATAATACATCTTTTCCTCTGTGCAAATGTTACCCAAATAAAATCTGTAAAATGACCCAGACACATATCATATCAGTTAAGATTAGAAAAAACTTTTGCTATACAATATAAATTATACTTCTTTCTGAGCTTAATGGAGTTCGGAAAAATTTCATTTATAAGGTAAATTAATGACACAATATCATTTTAAAATTTGCATGACAAGAAAATACTATTTGAAGTCATTCATGTTACCAAGAAAAATAATATTTCTGTGCTTAATCTGTATGAGGTTTTTTTAAACATATTTTGCTAATGAACTTAATCAAATACTTTGTTCTTTAGGGCTGGATTGCACTCATATTAAAGACACCGTTGGTTCAGTTTCAAAAACTCCAACTGGTCTGTACATTATCCATCCAGAAGGATCAAATTATCCTTTTGAGGTAAATAAATTTTTCTCTCAGGTTAGTCATAATTTGCACTTAGCATATGTTTAATAGTCTTCTCTGTGACAATTTTCAACAGAAGAATGAGAAATGTATTAAATCATCCAAGTCTATCTGCCTTTACTATAATTTTGCCAAGTTTCTAATTTTCTACAAAGAAATTGAATCTCTGTTATAAGATCTCATCATCGTTTTTCATATACAGTGAAAAATGTTCCAAAGAGGAAAACCCAAGGTATCTTCCAGCACCCCTTTTGGACACTGAGAAGTACTGTTATTTTCTATTTTAGAAATGGAAAAATGAGGAGCCAAGTGACTGATCCATTTGTTTCCTTTTGCTTTTTGAATTATCTGCTGGATGACTGGATAGTGTTGCCTTCTCTGAGAGGTGACTCGGCTGACGTCTGTAGCTTGGACTGATACTCTACAGGCATCTAAATATAGGTGCAGATCATAGAATCACAGAATGTGTTGGGCTGGAAGGGACCATTAAAGGTCATCCAGTCCAACCCCCCTGCAGTGAGCAGGGACATCTTTATCTCAATCAGGTTGCTCAGAGCCCCATCCAGCCTCACCTCCAGGGATGGAGCCTCCACCACCTCTCTGGGCAACCTGGGCCAGGGTTTCACCACCCTCATTGTGATGAACTTCTTCCTGATATCCAGTGTACATTAGTTTGGACAGTAGGTGCTTAGGTCTTGTCTAAGCATCAGTATATCTGTCTTGAGGCAGGGAGGCATCTAAATAAACTTTTAGTTTTCATATCCAGTTTGTAGGATATACAGTTTAAGATTAAAAAAAAAGGATGAAATGCAGGATGATCTGCAGCACTTGTGCTTCCTGTCACCACCTGCATTTTCTGTAATTGCTCAGAGTATAGCACTCATCTAGAAGAAGAGAGTTTTGTGTTAATTTCCTCTGGGTCAGAACATGCAGATCCATGCAAACACAAGGAACAATTTGTTTTGTCTGTTTATTTCCATTTCAGGCTGTAACAATTAGGGAAGCCCTATGTATAGTGGAAAGACAGATACGGCACTTTCAAAACTTCAGTTTTGCAGTATCTGCTGAGGTCATTAGTTTTTTGAGAAAAAAATGTGGAGTTTAAGCCAGCTAATAAGTAGAAAAATTTAATATCTAACTTTATAGTCTCCCTTTGTATATAACAAAGGAAGGATGGAACCCTTTATCTCTAGACAATTGGAACCTGACAAAATGCTACCAAAAAAGAGCTCAAATGGGTTAGAAAAAGGCATCAGAATTATGCTGGGATCTCAGAAACAAAAATGAACTTGGTTTTACAGACCCCTGATAGAAAACCTTGTCCTTCTCTCTGTACAATGCAGCGAGCTCAGGGAAAAGATCTGTATCTCATCAGCAAGTTTGTTCCAGGTAAAGGAAAGGTAAAAACTGGTAGAAGTGGTGACAGAACAACCTTATTTATACTATGAAGAAAATGCTGTCTACCTCACCCCAGGATGAACCATACTACAAAATGCATCTGTTTCATAATTTCTTCTGAATTGAGAGGGATTCCATTATGGAAACATTCATATCTTACCCAGATTACTTCTTCTGAGAGACAGTATGACTAATCTGCAAGAGAAAAGGGATTTCTCTTCATTTACAGCTTTTGGCAAGTAAATCTGAAATGCTAAAGCTCCTTTCACCTCAAAAGTATTTTTGACACTTTTCCACATTTAGAGTTCCTGCTAGGATCTGAGAATGGGTTATATGAGTTGAAAGGTTCCTTAAGGAGAACAAGAAACAAAAAGAATAATCATAATAATTTGATTAAAAGCACAAGGTAACAATAAATAATGAGAAGAAATGTCTGCAGCCATGAAATGTGCATCTCATTTCTTGTCTGGTATATGTTACATAGAACTGAAAAGATAGTGCCAAAAAGTTCTCAGAGAAAAATATCTAAGGTATGTGTGTTCCATAAAGAATGTTATCTTAAGGAAAACTGTTTAATGCAAATTCTTCCATGTGCTGAAGCATAAAAGCAGTACAAGAGAAAAGATGAACAAAGGTATCAAACTGTTAAGAGATTAGAACGAGTTTTAGGGGGCTAATAGCCAAGAGTTCTGGACATTGTGCAGACTGTCAAACTAAGAAAAGTACAAATAGGCAAAAAACATAGTAAAAAACTAAAAACTAGAAAACAGAGCAAAACCAAAATCAATTTATTTCAATGAGGACCTTTTCAGCAATAAGCTGCCCTTTAAATGTAACTGGAACTAAACCAAAATGTCATTGGAATCATTTGCTTAAATGTTCCCGATAAATGAAGAAAATCTTTTAGACAACTTGATCCTTTTCTCATGTTTTCACTCATTTTCAAATGTGAATATAGATTTTAATGCTTAACTCAGGCTAATCGAAACCTGAATTCCAGGGGCTTTAAGAGTATCCAGTTTCAGTGGTAGGGGCAAGTCCTCATCATCTTGGAACATTATTCCCAAATGGGCTTTTCTCCAAGAATTCAAATATGAGGCAATTTAAACCAATTTCACTTCTGGAAACTTGAATCATGAACACTTTCTGATTCGTTTTACAATAAGTAAATTTGCACCAATGGTATTTCCAAGGTGGGTCAGACAAACTAAACAGCTGTTTGGAATATTCTTCTTATACACACTAAAGATGCAGAGGGAAAAAACATTCAGTAGAAGCATCCTCGTGCTCATTTAATTTAAATTGTACCTGGCACAGTCATGCCCCTCATTCCTGGCATGATAGGAGATACAGAACAAGCTGTAAAGCGGATTAACTATTGGAAGGCTCTAAGAAAGAAAATTGCATCATTTCCAGCATAGAAAGAAATAGGAAACTACACAGCAATGACTTTTTTTTGTGTATCTATCTCATATTTTTACTTAACTGGCGTATGTTTGGGTGCCATATCTACCCGGCTGATGACATTTCATGTAGAACCAAATCTGCTCTTTCTGAGAATGGTCGACACTCCCACTGGTTTATATTGGACTGAAGACTGATGTAGTGACCAAGTGGGCTCCTCTTTTTATTTCTGACTCAAGAGTGAGAGGAGTATCCAAGCACACAATCATCTTCTCAAGAGAGCAGATGAGGCAATGGGATTATTTTTACTGAGTTTTAGGTATTTACATCTAAATACTCATTTTGGAATCTCCTGTGTTTCTTTTTTAAATCCATTTCCACTCTCCTTGGGTGACTGCAATAAGCATGTGATTCTCCAGGGAACAGAGCCCATCATTTTCTTTCATGTACATGACCCTTACTATGATTCATTTAATATTTGTGTTGCAAAGATTGATCAAAGCATCCAATGGCATTGATTTACTTGAAGATCCAAGATTCCCCAGATTGTATTAGATCCCTTTGCAGATCTGCCCTGTTGCTTTCTTGTTATTCATAGAGAAGGCATTAAGTCACAGACATTGTGAATATGATGTTGATGTGTTCCTGCCAAGGAACAAGTCTTTGGTTTCATGACAAGTATCTGGCTGGTACAGACAATGGGGGTGCTCAGATGGCCACAATTTTTTTGAGGATTAAACTGACCTCCACCTAGACTCTACTCTTAGCGACTTGCTAAGTTTGCAAATCTCTCTCATCTGAAACATTTTTCATTGTGCAGATTCCCTGTACCATGAACAAAATATTCCTTCTTTACTTGTGCATCTGCTTAATGTTATGATTTATTGATAGCCAATGTTTTATTCTGAACTTCCTTTTGTTATCACAAGTAGCTTAATGGCTCTCCTGATATTAGTCACACTGTGAGACACTGACAAATGAGCCTCTGTTTTTAAACACTAATTAAGCATCGTATCCCCTAGAGCTACTTTGAACAGCCTAGGTGGTACAGGGTCTGAATATGCAATTGCACCTTTCTACGTCAGGATTCTCAGACTTTCTAATCCCTGTTGGAACTGGTCAAACTCTGGCACCGGGGACATACTTGAAAAAGACCCAGGGGGACCTGGATACATTCTGTTTAACTTTCTAGCCCTTAGCTGAAATCCCCAGAGAGCAGCCAAGGGTTGAGGGGCCCTTTCTGTAGACAGAGAAGGTGACTAACATCAGCAGAGGGTAATTTAGATCTTGGTTTTGCGGAGCCACGCTATGAATACACATTTCTCTCTGTTAGGAGGATTCCAGGGGAGACAAGGGCAATAAGATTCCTAACTTAGGGACCTCAGCTGTACAATAAGCTGAGGAGAAAATGTGCCACATAAGGTGATATTCCACTGCCGAGGGCAGCTCGACTGCTGCCATTTGACATGCCGCTGGGCACAAATTTTAGCGAAGACTCATAAAGCCTCATAAATTTGAGAGTTGATCTTATGCATTCAGTGGTACTCCTCAGCTGCAGGCTGTTAAATGTTCACCTCGGGACTTCCCTGGATTGGGGCCCCTTCTTATGTAGAGTTTTTTGCTGCTCCAGCATAAATTCTTACATACTGGGTTATAGCTATCACTTTTCTCATTTCCTCACCTTTATTAAGTGCTCTACATTTCCCAGGCATCACAAGCATAGTATTTCTGTGAAAGAAGGTATGATGGTGAGGGAGAACATATAAGAAGTTGTGTCTAATTTGCGTTGATGAAATAAAGGTATATCCAGTAACATTTATCAAAGCTCATCTATTATATCTGATATGAGCAGACATTTGCATGCAACAGTTTCTACTAGTTGAGGAAATATCCAAATCAGGCAGTCAAGCAAGAATATATAAGAAAATACTGCAGCTTTGTTTTCTTATTTTCTTTCATCTTTGTTATTTGAAAGATACGTTGCTTAGCAGAACTACGAATAGTCCACCTTTATTTAATTAAATGTTTTCTTCATAACAGCTGCTTCAAGAATGCTTAATCATATCTATGCCTATTTTAGGTTTTGTGTGACATGGATTTTCAGGGAGGTGGATGGACTGTGATTCAGAAAAGAACTGATGGAATCATTCCATTCCAGAGAACATGGTCTGAATATCTGGATGGATTTGGTATCCTTTCTGGTATTAATTTTAAATACTCTAAAGTGCTTTGGACGTAGTGTTTCTGCTGCCTTTATGTGAGCTACATTGCATTAAATTGTGTTGGATTTTTAGTGGAATAGAGAGTAAAGTTCTTATTTCTTAAAAGTCTTATTTCTACTTAAGAGGTTTTTTTCACTAAATATACTGTGTCATCTTCTCAATAATGGCTATCACCCTACTGGAGTCTTTAGCCATTGCTAATCCTCAGACTCACAAGAGGTTTTTAAAATGTTGTGATATTTTCTTCCTAAAATAATGCATAACTGTATTTCTTTTTTTTTTTTTTTTTAGATTTAACCCCCCCCGCCCCAACTTAGGTTTAAACACATTTGTGAAATACTTCCTTAAAGTAGAGGAAAGTCAATAACATTTCACTACAAGGCATGTGAAGTTAGAAACGAAACAGAAATATTTCAGTTCTGTCAAATTGTTGGTAGCAAGGGCCCGGCGGCCGGAAGATTTCGCGTTGTATGGAAAGACAAGGAATCCCCTCCCTATAGCTTCTAACGTAAGCAGACGGAAGTTACGTTGTAAATCAAGGCTATATAACACTGTGTTGCATACTAATAAATGCCATTTTGCCATCCACCACATTGGTGTCAGTGTGCTGATGGCCCGAGTGACCCGGAGTCGGTCGCCGTATCGTTCCTTGAACCAGGTCGTTACGCCTCGATAGGCAACAAGTGGTGCCGAAACCCGGGCAACATCAAATTACTTTTTAACTCCCACCTTTCAGCCAGCAAGTTGAAAACCAGTTGCTTTTTCAGGAGTTTATCTGGGACTGCAGAGGAGGCACACACCTTTTCAACCATACAAAAAAGCGCAACTCATCTATGGCAACCTTTCATTGAAAAAAGTGTGATTTACAGAAGAAGCAAGCTTGTGAATAGGATTTGAGTTTTGTTGCTAATATTTATCATTTCTCAGTGTTGCCCTTAGGAACTTAGGATCGAGTGGATCTTTAGCACATGCAGTTTTTGTGGTCTTCTAAGGTATATTGAAGGTGAACACTAGAAAGTTATAAGGGGGACTATTTTCTAAAAATGTCTCAGAGTAAAAGATGATGCACGCATGGGAATTCTTTCCATAGATTTCCCAATGAAGTAGGAAGATTACTCTGTACCTTCATTAGCCTTTCACAGCCTATCGTAAAATTATTTAAAGGAATATATGCCTATAATTTGGTTCAGAAAGGAAAACAGAAAGACTAAAAAAATCCATTTTTTCTTTTACACTTTCCACTTCTAAACATTAAACTCTATATTATATTTCTGGTTTAGGGGAGTTTTGGCTTGGACTGAGGAAGATTTTTCACATAGTAAATCAAAAAGCCACTAGTTTCAGTCTTTATGTGGATTTGGAATCAGAAAAAGACAAGCATGCCTATGCATCATATGATGGATTTTGGATAGAGGATGAAACATGTTCTTTTAAGATTCATTTGGGGCGTTATTCAGGAAATGCTGGTAAGAAACTCCTTCTTTAAAGTGTTTACAGAGAGCTGCTCCCTTTCTTAATGAGAAAAAATGCATTCAAAAGAGTAATACTTACTTAGGATAACTTTAAAAATGTTTATTGCTAATACATTTTTCTCTGGTGCATAATGAACACTTGTGAAGACAAATGGTTACTGATGTAGTGATTGGTTATGCCAACATCAATCTTTACATAGTAAGAAATCATTTTATTCTATTGCTTTGAAGTCTTTAATGGAATAATTGAATAAACACTTCTTTTTTAAAGAAAATAAAGGAACTTCAATGGATTCAAGTCCCTAGAGAATATATATATATGATACATAGCTATTCTGCATGTGTTTGTGTATATTTCTCTAATGGTCCAATCCTTTAGCTGTCCATTATCTCATCCCAAATTTGCTGATGTTAGTGGGAGTCTTTCTGACTTTTTGCTTTGGTTAGCTCAGAAGTGCCCAGATAGCGGCGTACAAAGGATAGTTTTTTTAAGAAACTAACTGGAACAAATTAGGCCTCCAGTGTATAAGAGTTACTGGCTGATATAGAGACCCAAATTAATTTACAATTCCACAACTCCCTTATTGCACTAAACATGCAAACATTTGTGTTAAGTATTGCATCATGGCTTAATGCTTTTTCCTTTTTTTTTTTGCATGTTTACTAATATGTGAGAATGTTCCTTATTACCAACGTAAAAGTTATGCTCTAAATGTGTTAGTGCTTTACTTGTATTTGTAAGAAACATGGTTTCTTTAGTAAGACAGCAGAACCAGTAATCACTGACCTTTGTGTTTTAACAATTCTGTTTTGTCTCATGACTCACTCTGTGGCTTTGAGCACATCACTGGAAAATATGAAGTTAACAACCCTTTTCCTTTCTTTGGTCTCTTCTTCCACTGCCTTTGAGGTCAGAAGTCTTTACCTTCATTGCTAGTGTGTGTCACTAAATGCAACAATATAAAGTTGTTTCATCCAATTTCAACTGCTTCTGCACTTCTCAGTATTTTATTCTTTTTCTTTCCTATGTCTTTAACACATTGCCAGCTCATTGTTCAGTGCTCTTAAACCAATTTTGAAGAAATCTGTTTTTCTAATAAATTCAGAGGAAAAGTTTGTGAGGTATGCAACAAGTAAGAAATGTTATGTTTCTCCATAAATAACACTTCTATCCTTCTGTTTCATCTGTTGTGCTTAGGTGATGCATTTAGAGGATATAGAAAAGAAGACAATCAGAATTCAATGCCTTTCAGCACCTTTGATGTCGATAACGATGGATGCAGGCCAATGTGCACTATTAAAGAACAGCCTGTAAAGAGCTGCAGTAACTTCAGTGATAACACTGGATGGTGGTTCAGCCGGTGCGGCCTTGCGAATCTTAATGGTGTTCATCGCTACACAGGTAGATTTCTTGCAACTGGGATTCACTGGGATACATGGACAATGAACAACAAACCAGTCCGAATTAAATCAGTTTCAATGAAAGTTCGGAGAACCTATAAGCCATATTTCCATTAATCTATGAAAGCAGAAATATATCTCTACTTGCAGTTATGTGGGATAATGTATTGCTGCATCATAAATACCTTTCATTTCCACTTGAACAGTTTGGTCTTAAAACTTTATTAGATATTTCCATAATACAGTTACTCATTTTTATTATGAAATGTCAGCATTTGTAGTGTTCCCAATTGAGTAAGAAGGTCCTAAGAAGAATATATTTTTCAGAAAATGGATGTAACTTAACTGTTTGTCAGCTTTTGCTCAGCTGCCTCTTATGCAATCTCAGAGACAGTGGAAAAAATTCAAAAAGGAATGTAATGCTGACTTTTGAATGTGTTTTTTCTGTCTCTCTGCATATCTGAATTGCCAAGAAATTACAGGAATTTTTCTTTTAAGAAGTCATATACCTCCCATTTCCATCATTATATTACAGGAAAATACCTTTTATTCACCTTAGGTTAATTTTCCAGAATCAGCTCTTCTTTGTATATTCCTTATCAGGCAAGATAACACTGACTTATTTCAACACATACTTAAGGTTCTGTATACTCTCAGGGCCCAATTGTTATACAAGTAAGGTAGATACTCACATACAAGAATTATGGTCTGTTTTGTATTTAATTTTCATAGTCAATGTGTTTCATAATCAGATTTTTACTCTACTATTGTCTATTTCACAATTCACTTCAAACGAACACATTTTTTTCAAAGAAAATGTGTAACATTTCATATAACTTTTGGAATTTTAATTTTTGGGTATATGGACCTGACCTTATGGTTTTCTTTCTCATTGGCATTCACTTTGTGAATGATCATATGGTAATGAACAAAAATAATCTGAGTTGTATAAGTACATTTTAAATTGTGTGAATTGTTTCAATTTCTGCCAGTAAAAATAAAATAGTTTCAATAAAAATGTGAGTATTGTCAGTACAGCAGTACAGCAGTGCTTCTAGAACTTAGCATCTATTCTGTAGCAACTAGGCATAGTATTTGTCATCTCTGCTTCAGTTTCATTAGATGACTGACTTGGGGGTACTGGTGGACAAAAACCTGGACATGAGCCACCAAGGCATGCCTGCAGCCCAGAAGGCCAGTCACGTCCTGGGCTGCATCAAAAGAAGCGTGGCCAGCAGATGGAGAGAGGCGATTCTGCCCCTCTGCTCTGCTCTGGTGAGATCCTACCTGGAGTAGTGTCCACCTCTGCAGTCCTCAAGACAAGAAGGATATGGACCTGTTGGACTAGGTTCAGAGGAGGGCCACAAAGGTGATCAAGGGCTGGGGCACCTCTCCTATGAGGACAGACTGAGAGAGAAGAGAAGGCTCCAAGGAGACCTTATAGTGGCCTTCCAATACCTGAAGGGGACCTACAGGAGAGCCGCAGAGGGACTGCTTACAAGGGCGTGTAGCTACAGGACAAGGGACAATGGTTTTAAACTGATCTAGTTAGAGATGTCCCTGCTCACTGCAAGGGGTGGGACTAGGTAACCTTTAAAGGTCCCTTCCAGCCCAGTGCATTCTATGATTCTATTCTATGAGCTCTGTAGCAACATGTAATACAAAATTGGTTAAAAACTCCATGAGTTTCCTCTTTGCTGTCTCACACTTTGACTAAGCATTACTACAGCGAGCAGAAACCATCATCAATTCAGAACCACCATGTTTTAGAACTTCCTTCCATATATAGCTACATATAGGAGGAAACGATGAAATGAAGCTTTTGATAGGCTATGTTGCAAGGTTAACGGAAAGAGAAAAATTCCTCTCCTCTTCTATGCTTGTCTAGTCCTTAACAACCCAACAAGTTTCTAGAAGTAGCTTTCTCTCTGTTAGAGAGAAACTGAGGACTACCCTCATGGTGGGGGCCTATGGTAGAAGCATGATAGGAAGCAGCTTGTGGAAAAATACCACAGGCCCTGCTGAAGCATTGTGAGAGAGGGGGTAGCTCATGCTCCTGGGGAGACTGAATTCTCTGAGCATGGCGGGGATATTGCTGTCAGACCCTGTGGACTACGGAATGAGAAGAGTCTGTATACCCTGTTTACCCTTCGCTCTCACTCCAGACTTTTTAGGAACGCAATTCCTTATAACAGCAACACAGTCCCAGCAGACTTGTAAAGGTAGACGGTAAAATGAAAGAGCTTCTACACTACCATTAACAAGCATTAGAGCAGTATGTGATTGTTTAAGGACTATCAATTCTGGCTGAAAGCCTGGATGTTGACACTGTATTAGGGCTATTATGTCAGAAAGAGTCCCCAGGCTGCAGTACAACAATTCTGCTGGAGAATGCCAGTGGCTAAATGTCACAGAAATTTAATGACTTTGTTGAAAACTTCAAACTTTGGAGGTGGGACTTCTGCTCCGACAACGAGGTTCATGCCTGTGAGCAGAAAGGAAGAGTCTAAGTAGGGAAGCTGGATGCTGAGTGTACAGCTGGAGTCTGCTGACACCCTGAGGCTCCTTTTGGCTTTATTAGAATCCCTGCTTAAAAACGAAGGTGGAAGATGAAGATTTTAAGTCTGTGCTGGCAGATATTAACACTTTCAATTACTGGATTAAATCTCTCCTTTGTCAGTGTTAGTTAGATTGGCAAAGCACAGAGGAGATGGGCCAGAAAAGATAACTAAAGTTTGAAGGGTCATTCTTGCAAATAGACATTGGATCTTAAAGTCAAGTCCAATTGTAAAACTATACAAAAATTCAAGTGAATTCTCAATATAAGAACTGGCCACATTTGAATATTTACTGTTCTTTAAAAGATAAAAATATTTGAAGAGATTGCCTTGAACTCAATACATATATGCTTTAATACCATTAAGTACTGCTCTGCTGGCAATGTCCCCGCTAGACACTGTGTTCTCTGTGGCTTAGAGTCCCTTCCCTTTGTAGATAAAATGAATTCATTTTGCCCCAGGCTCGACTTGTGTCTTTGTTTTGCTGTGAGAGCTGGATCTGCAGTGTAAACTGCAAACAGAATGAAGTTCAAATTGAAGATAACAGTCAGGTTTTAACTTCTTTAAATCATTCAGGTACGAGTTTTCAATATAGTGTTCTTAAGCAAAAGATGGGCAAATTTTTCAAATTAGAAACCATGCATGAAAATAGAGACTGTTACGAATTTCTCCTCTTTTATGTGCCATATTATCTACTGCTCATGATCACACTTAGTGCTTCTATGGCACCAAAACAAGTAATTAGATTGTAATTAGTATCATTCAATGACTTTACTTCCTTTTATGGAGACTAGCACCTCAGAGGCTCTGAATCAGATTTCTGTGAAAAGCTTTTGAGCATGGGAATCTCGCAGTTTTATCATTATTTGAATGTTCTGAAATGTGAGCATTGGTATAGTCTGGTTTTGTTTTAAAATTTAGTGCATGCTGGCCTGATGCAAATCTGAAATACAGCAATGACAACAGAACATCTTCCCTGTGATAGATGGCTACTGTCTTCAAAGGTTTATTCCATTTCCTCTAAGAATAAAACAGCCATGAAAACAAATAATTTTTATTTAAACACAGAGAATTTACAAGGACATTAAAATGATCCCAGGGACCTGTGCCCCCCATTTACAGCTGATGATTCCTAACCACCACATGTAAGATTTTTGTGGCCACATATTCAGGACTGGAAATCAGCCGGTTATTGCCCCACATGGTCTTGTTTCAACTACATCAATAGGAATACATAGGGAAACTGATTGTGTTCTGAATAAAAAGTAATTTGGTTAAACTAGACTTAGCATTTATTCCAAGAATGATACTCCAGACTACAAGAAGTTGTCTTTAAAGGACATGTAATCTCTGAGATTATGAAATTGCACTTCATTCTTTGATTTTCTTTTCTCAAAAGTATGTCTTCAATTTGTAAATTTCAGTTTGGTGAACTCAAATGATGTGACCCAGTTTATGATGCTACAGTAATATAATATAAATAAATGACATGTTTTCCACAGCCTGAGTACTACTGACGTGGCAGCGCAGGGTTCAGTGGATTAGACATCTGGAAATAACAAAACAGTACAACTAAAGGCATTTTACTTTCCACTTGGAAAGTCTTTAATTTGGCAGTAAAAGATCCTCTAAACTACTTAAATTATTATTTTTTTTTTTACTCTAAATTCTGGCATGTATTTAAAACTTTATAATAAGTCATGTTTCATTAACATGAATACAAGATTCTGGTTTTATTACTCATCTGTTATACAATGTATTTCTGAAATAATACTCTAACACTACGTTGTATTGATACTTCAGTACAAAATACATAGCATGTTTATGTCCATTGTACAGTACTCTGAATTGCAGGTAGGAAACTCTGATTCATAGCTGGACTCTAAATTTTAGTTGGTTGCATGCCATTTTCCATAAGTCTTCTCAATTATTTAGGGATAACTGGTGTAATGCACAATTAACATGCAACTATTTAAACTACCATCTCAAGAACTCTTGTGGAAATCTAGTGGGTTAAAGCAGAACTAAAGCAGAGTGCACAGATCCACCGCCAACGTGCAATACAAAGTGATAGGAAGCACAAAGCTATATGAAGAATTTCCGGAGATGGAAGGAATATCTACTTTTTCCTCCTCTCCCTCTGGTACATAAAAGATTAAATGCTGAAACACAATATGCAGCAAAATGGTAAAGTCCCCTTCAGCCTCACTCTAATCTCTGTAGACATCTTTGAACAGAATCTGAGGTGGTTCTAATGGAAATAGTAGCTTGTTGGGATGTAGAGCTCAACAAGAACTCAACATTATAGTGAGCAGGGAAGAATGGAAGGCAAGATAAGGCTGGGCTATAGTTTAACTTGTACATGACTGCCTTCTGAAGACAAGAAAGAAGAAGCAATGGTAATTGATTAAAAATCAAGATCTCCCCACTGCTGCTTGTTTTGAATGTCCAAGTCCACTACTTTCTTCATGAAGGCTGTAACTATCAATTACATGTAGTTCATCATGTAAATGCCCACAGCTTCATCTTGAAACTCCATTCAGTGACTGGTCTGTGTAGAGCAGATTAGTTTTCCTGCTTACTTGAAAGTGTACAAACTAAGCCTACAGGCAGTCCAATAAGCATGGGCTCTCATTCTTCCTGCCCAAGGTTGATGGATGATCCAATAAAATAGAGACAGTCCTGACTTGTCCTGATCTTCAGAGGAAATAGTGATCCTATTTTGTACAAGTTGTCCAGAATTATCAGTCCTAACAGATACTGTCTTTTATCAGCCACTAGCTTTTAATAGAAAACTAAATAGGTACTAGGAGTTCTTTGTAACCCTTGTGGTCAGATGATCTTTGCTGAGTCTATTTAAGTGACCAGGCTCCATTCAGGCTTACATAAAGCCAGGAGAAAAAGCTTATGTCCTTTAGAATATTTGTGTGGGCACACATGGCATTGCATGTATTTTGATGCTTTGCCATGTATTCTCTGGGAACCTTCACCATAGTCCTTATTCATTCTCATCTGTTATAGTTACATTTTTTCACAGTGGATTTCTCATACAGGGTTATAAAACAAGGTGAAGTTCACAGAATCATA